CAGTGTCATTAGCAGTTCTAGTGAATGTTTAAGATTTATTAAGAATCCTCAAATTTACAAAAAAAAAGTAAGTCCTGGAGAACAGTGTAACAGGACAGTTAGTAAATAAGTGTAAACATTATAAGCAATCTATTTCTAGTTTTTAATACCTAAATGCCACTTGAAGAGTTGAACCATGACTTGCTTCACAGAACAGTGACTTACATAAAAGCCCAAGAATGGCTATTTCTGGTAAAAAGGTTTTAGACGGTTCTCCTCTGCCCCTTACCCCAACCATCTCAATTTAGATGAGTTTGATATTTTTGCATTTTTAGCCAGGATACCTGTTTTTGAAGTTATGTGAAAAATTAGGAAAAACGTGTATCTTATCTTGAAACACATAATCTTCTATATTCTAAGTATAACACCCTTTTATATTCTTTCCAAATATAGAGAATTTAACACCGAATTATCAGTGCTTCCTTTGCCCACTGCTCCTCTCCTCCCTTTGCCATGGTTAAAGAACTTACTAGGACTGCACAGCCACAATCAGAAGCTTCTTTTCTCAATGCAACTCTATTAAGACCATTCCCACCTAGTATAAAAAAAAACCAACAACAAACCCCTTTAACTAATATTCTTATATAATACCTTTTTCTCATGCAGAGGCAATTTTACAGACTAGCCTGGAAGCTAGCTATACTGCTGAATCTTTTATGAACAAGGCATTATTGGTACCACAGCAACAACTCCATGTAACTCCACTTAAAAACTTCAAGCTTAGAAGCAAAAATAGAAATAATAAACAAATAAATTAATCAAAATGTTTGTGAAGACTGTGCTATCATCAGTTTTAAAAGAAATCACTGACCATTTCAAAAAAATCTATTATCCAATACTAAAAAGGAAAGAAATATAAACTGGAGAAAAGATTAAATAATCGTTATCTGACAAAGACTGACTCAATGTGGCAAAGGAAAACGCTGAGCAGTGAAAATAGCACTGTAAAAGTCTAAAGCATACTGGTATGAGCAAGTGAAAGTCTCATTTCAAATCAAAGGTTATTTACTGGGCTCAGCTCCACGCAGTTTCAGGACGTGGGACTGGGAGATCCAGGAGTGCAGCCCATCTATCACTGTTTCTCAATGCTTAGAGCTGCACATTTGTATTACACACCACTGCTGTCTGCACAGTTCAGACTTGTAACACTTGTCCTTCCTATCAGAGCACTGTGACAATGGTATGACAATATTCTTACGTCAAGATAAAAAGAGAAAGACAAGGAGCTTTGTAACAATCTATTTTCTCCTAATGGTTCTCTTCCGCACCATCTCCCAGCCAGCCAGGCCCAGATACCAAGAGAGAACTGGATCAGAGCTTCATGTCTCTGCCCAATGTTTCAGGAGAAAACAGCTC